AGGAGACGCCAGGGGGGAGATTGAGAGGGGTAACAAACACGGGCCAACAAGTGTATGGGGCATCCATCATTCCATAAGGATTGAACCCATCTGTTGCCAATGCAACACGCACATTACGTGCCTCCCCACTTTTGTTACGATGAATGTTATCAAAGTGATGCCATGCTTCACCATCGGCTGGATGTACCATCTTCTCAGGACTGTATCTTTTTCCATTTTTGTGCCATTTCATCTGTTTCGCGGACTCCTCTGTCATGAATAGCCGTTGGATCCTCGGTATGAATGGAAGGTATCGTAGGATTTTCATGGGGTACGGACTCTGCCTCTTCTCACCATCACCAGAGTCTACCTCCAGATACCTAGAGGATTTACACTTTGGACAGTACTTTGCATCCGTGTGTGCTTTTCTAAAGAGGACGCAACCCTTCGGACAAGCATGTATCTGCTCATACGGCATCTTAAGTGCACGAAGGACCTTATGCGATTCGTACATGTTCTATGGCAGAAGGTGATCGGCCGGAAGGATGGAGCCAATAACTGTCAACATTTCATCAAAGTTCTCTCGACTGAGGTTGAACTGGGACTTTAAGGCCATTAAGCGTGAAATGCCATCAAGCTTTGAAATCTGTGTGTGGCCATGAAGGGGTTTCCCTACCGCAGACAACATGTCGTAATACGCCTTTGCGCTTGCCTATGGCTCCTCCTCCTCCTGCTGCCTACGTCCGTCAGCGAAGTGTGCTTCGTGAAAGTCATCTAACCAAGCTGCTACCCCGGCATCAGCATTGTAATCCTCGACACGTGGTCTCACCACCTCCTCTCTCACACGATCGGCTTCACCATGGTGGGTCCACTGGGTATAGTTTTTCGTAAATCCATGCCTAGCCAGATGTGAAGTCATCGCCTCCTTTGTCTACCTATTTCTGTTCTTACAGTTGATGTAGGGACAAAAAACGGCACGCGCTCCGGGAGCCTGGTCAAATACTTTCTTGATGAAAGCCTCGGTCTTGTTGACCCATTCTCTGGTAATGTCACGGGCGCTCCGGCGGCCCGAGTACATCCACTCATGGTCATCCATCCTCTAACATATATATCACCAAGTAATAAATATAACCATGGACTTGCATCTACATGTCGTTCCTACCATCTAATAGGTAAGGATAGGTCCTAATCCCACCCGAGGATGCGTAGATGGTGTTAGTTCCCATGGTCTGGTCCTATCCGAAATATAATTTCGGCAGCACCTCCCCGTTGTTCTCCAAATACACGTCCCGACAGGGAGATTGTGTATCCGGAGAACAACAGGAATGTACTGTCGAAACTCTGTCTCAGATCGGAGCAGACCATGGAAACTAACACCATCTGCGCATCCTCGGGCTGTCCAAAAAATGTGGACAATTCGAAACAGATACGGTTATTGATATGCAAAGATCTGCATATTTCTAACCGTATCTCTTTCGAATGGGAGACACCTAACTGGGTTACGTGGAGATACATGACCAAGACAAAGAAAGAGTGGTTATACCTTAGGTGGCGGTGAAGTCAGGCTAGCGGGGTCGTGGCGGGTCGGTGCAGTGGCGAGGCGGCGGACAAAAGTGGGGCAGAACACAGGGACACCGGGTACTCCGACTCGGCTCTGCAAAAAAAAGAAAGAAAGCAAAATAACGCTAACTCAAAAATTCGCAAAGATCTCCCCTGAACGGTGAGGTTTCCAAACCTGAAAGAAAACGACGGCACGATGGCCGACAACCACATATATATCAAGGAACCACATGTAGCTTAATTATCAACTACTACTACTCTAACTACTACTACACTAACTACTACTACCACTACTAATACCACTACTACAACTACTAACTACTACTAACACTACTACAACTACTACTCTAACTAATGCAACTACTACTACACTAACTACTACTACCACTACTACAACTACTAACTACTACTACCACTACTACAACTACTAACTACTACTACAACTACTAACTACTGACTACTACTACTACCACTAGTACTACTTAGACTACAACTACTAACTACTACTACCACTAATACTACTTAGTATACCTTGTTCCTCTCCGCGGCGAGGGCGAGGGCGAGGCCGACGGCGAGGACGAGGTCGAGGGCGAGGCCGACGGTGAGGACAAGGCCGAGGACGAGGGCGAGGGCGAGTTAGGGCGCGGGCGAGGACGAGCCCGAGGGCGAGGACGAGGAGGGGCGCGGGCGAGGACGAGGGCGGTCGGGCGAGGGCGAGGGCGCAGGCAGCGGGCGAGAGCGAGGAGGCGGGCTGCAGGCGGCGGCGGGCGAGGCGGGCGCAATGGCGCGGGCGTGGCGTGGCGGGGCGGGCTTGGACGGGCTGGCTGGCCGTGGAGGGCATGACCACGGGCGCGCAGCCACCACCATGCGCGTGTGCGTCGTGGCGGGGGCTGGGGCGGCCGCGCCGCCAGCGTCTTGTGGCGCGGACGAAGCGATGGGATGGGGGGCTGGCTGGGCTGGCGCGGCGGCGCGAGGCTCGGGCGGAGCGGGCGGTGGCGATCTTGGCGGCGCGGGCGATGGCGGGATGGGGGCGGGCTGGTCGGGGCTCTGCGGCGAGGCTTCGGGCGGAGGCGGCGGCGGCCAAGGCGCGTCAGGCGTGGCGGGCTGGGGCGAGCCGGCGCGGGGCTGCGGCCGAAACGGTTCACCTTGCGGGGCATGCGGGGCTGCGCCGAAACGGTTAAGTGGCTGAAGCCACTTTGCCGAGAGCTAGATCTGGGAGGCTCTCGGCAAACCTTCCCCCTTTGCCGAGAGCCCCCAGATCCGGCTCTCGGTAAAGTTTTTTTTCAAATTTCGTTCAATTTTTTAACTAGCTAACTGCACAAAAAATTAAAAAAAAAAAATTATTATTTGCCGAGAGTAGCTCTTGGCAAACTGAACAAAAATGATATTTCTAAAAAATTAAATCTTTCCCGAGAGCGGCTCTCGGCAAACCTCTTCGCCGAGCCCCGCTCTCGGCAAACCATTGATCCAGGCCGGTAAAAAAAAAAATCTCTGCTTGCGAGAGCGGGCCTAGTTGCTCTCGGCAAGAGAGCCTTTGCCGAGAGCAATCCCTCAAGCTCTCGGCAAATAATATCCAAAAAAAATTAATAAACAGCAAACGGCTCCGGAAAAATATGAAATTTTGCCGTGTTACAACTTATGCTCTCTAATGGCTATACAAAAAGTTTGGAACTCCAAAACTAATTCGACCGTGACATTGTTTGAAAATCCTAATGGATCCTTCTCAACTTTATGAAACCTATTCGGAGATGTCTCAGATTGTAAGAATCATACGCAACCACTTGTGCGAAACATTTTCAATTTTTTACCACAGCCTCCAAGTGTGATACCATGACTTCATTGCAAATATCACAATTTTCCGACTTCGTTTCCTTTTTTAAGAATTTTTAAATCGTTGGGCGACATATGTTCGTGGTCTTCGATTCGTAAAATAAAAGGTGAAAAAACGTCAACAAGATGTTATTTGCCCTCAATAATGCATAAATAGCATGAATATCATTTTCTACTTATTTTTTTTCCGTGTTTAAATCAATCGCTGTTCAAATTTTAATCGATTAAAAAAACTCCTTGAAATGCAATTAATTAATTATATATAGCAAATAATTACAAAAATACACAAAATTTTAATATTGAGTACAACCTGTAGTATGTCTATAGAGAAAAAAGTTTGGAGCATATGAAAGAAAAAATAATTTAATTGGAGAGAGTTAGGAGAAGAGAAACAAATGCACATGAAATATAGAAACCACATTTGCCGAGAGCCTGGGAGGGGCTCTCGGCAAATATTTGCCGAGAGCGGCGCTCGGCAAAGAGTTTTGCCGAGAGCAGTAACGGAGGGGCTCTCGGCAAAGCGGTAACGCCGTCAGGGCAGGTCACGGCTATGGGCCCGCGGCAATGTTTTGCCGAGAGCCTGATTTTGCCGAGAGCGCGGCCTACGGCAAAGGACCGTTTTGCCGACGGGCATTTTTTGCCGAGCGCGGCTCTCGGCAAAACAGCCCACTTCGCCGAGAGCTGTTGCTTGCCGAGATGCAGGCCCACGACAATCCTGTCACTTGCCGACGGCCGGTGTTTGCCGAGAGCCGCGCTCGGCAAACGTTTTCTTTGCCGAGAGCCCGCGTTTTTGCTCTCGGCAAAAATCTCGGATCTCGGCAAAGGACGTTTTTCCGGTAGTGGGTGTGACCAGCCAGCTAGTCTCCAGTCTACTGTCGTCATTGGTGATGGAACGATAGATTACACTCTAAAAATCTATCACGTACTGCGTACACTTTTTCTTCAGTAATTAGTAGATCAATTATTGGCAGAGCCCGTGCTGCTGCCAACTTAAAATAATAAATAATGCCACAAAAAAATAATGGACACATTCAACTCCGAGCATGTTACTTCAGTTATTTTATTAGGCCATTGTTAGACTCTTCTTGGGTCTTGGCCGGGCTTTAAGTGAAGCTAAAGAAACTTGAGTGAACCTAACGACTCCTCTTTTTGTTTCCTCTTTTCCCTTGTGTCACTTTGAGTAAACCTAAAGATTTCGTATAGCTTGTGACTAGCTTGAATTGTTGCCAACATTTTCACCAGGAATCATAAAGGGATCACAGTACAAAACACCAAAACTGGTGGGTGGTGGCCTATATATAGGCCAAGAAACGAAAATAAAAACAAAGACCGGGAATACTTTTTGTTGCCTACAATAACCACTCTTGTGATCAGAGAAACCACGAATACGGAAAAAAATAACATATGTGCTACTACAAAGAACTAAATTTGTTTTTCAGCACAAAAATCCTTGCAAATATATCTCACTTTATCCTTTGCATTTCCTGTACGTGTATTATTGATTGAAGAATTCGAAATCATAATAAACGGCATAAAATCTGATCAGGAGTTAAGTTTCAGAAATCCTATGCCGAAAAGAACAAACACGTAGAACTCCGTACAACATATCCCATACTCATGGACTGCGTGCATCAGTTTTTGTGGTCACCACTGTCGCCGGCGCCGTCCTTGTTGCCCGGTGGCAGCAGCCGCGCGCCTGCCTCCGCGTCATCGTCCGACTTGGCCACCGCTGTGGCCGCCGCCTTCCTCTCGGCCTCCTTGGCCTTGAGCGCCTCCAGCTTGGCGTGGTTGTAGTATGCGACGCTAAGGAAGGCGATGCCGTAGCCGACGAGGTTGACAGGAGTTACGGTGTCCTTGATGACCGTCCACGAGAAGGCGATGAGCAGCCAGTCCTTGACGACGCCGGCGACGTACATGGTGAGCGCGGAGGTCTTTGTTAGGGTAGAATCTCAATCACACGCTGTATGGTGGCTGGATTAACTCACAAGAACGATGAACACATGATCGCACACATGAACACAGAGAATTGGAATGGTAACTACCCAGCTGACCACCAGGAGACAGTACCCTTTTTCACTATTGATGGTTCACAATACAATGTGGCTTACCGGCTTACAAAAAGCAAAGCACCACACACCAAACACCCAGCTCTTTATACCAGAGCTTAACTCACACGACTAAGTCAAAGAAAACTGCAAACACACGCGATACATATCACTGAAAACACATTCTTCAGAAACCGCCAGAACGTGGGAGCGGTCACCACGCTGTGCCACCTTGATCAGTTGCCCACCGATTCAAACCTGCTGCTTCCCGCCTCCACTCCTTGCTCCTCTTCTGAATGCGCCTCAATGACTTGTTGCTGTCAGGCTTACACCAACAAACTCCCCCCTAAGCCTGACACACACCAAGGTCCCTGACACCAATCAAATGGCTCATGACAGCAAGCTTCACTGCTGGCATAGATTTAGTAAGTACATCAGCTTTCTGCTCCTCGGTGCCTACTCTTTTCACCACAATCTGCCCCCTCTCAATGCATTCCCTGATGAAGTGATATTTGAGATCAATGTGTTTGCTTCTACCATGAAACACAGGGTTCTTCATGAGAGCTATTGCAGAGTTGTTATCAACAAACAAAGTCACTGCCTTTGGCCTTTCCTTTGTGATCTCACTGATAAGGTTCCTGAGCCACAAAGCTTGTTTAGCTACAGCTGTTGCTGCCACAAACTCTGATTCACAAGAAGACAATGAGACTATCTTTTGCTTTTGTGAACACCAAGTGATCAAATTCTCATTCAAGTAGAAAGCCATCCCTCCTGTGCTCCTTCTCTCCACTGTATCTGCACCATGATCACTATCAGAGTATCCCACAAGCTTGTCTGCACTTCCACCCTGGACATAAACCAGTCCATAGTTAACTGTGCCTTTGAGGTATCTCAAAACTTGCTTAACAGCCTTGGCATGCATCACAGTAGGCTTCTCCATGAACCTGCTGGCCACTCCCACTGAATAAGATAGATCAGGTCTGCTGTGCAACAGATATCTCAGGCATCCAATCATTTTCCTATATTCAGTTGCATCAACCTGCTGACCTCCTTTATCTGCATTCAGTTTGCAACCAGGTTCCATAGGTATCTTAGTGGAATTGCACTCACTCATGCCAAATTGTTCCAGCACTTTCTTAGCATACCCACTTTGTCTCACTGTGATGAAATCATCTTTCTGCTCTACCTCAATCCCAAGGTAGTAGCTCAATAAGCCCAAGTCCGTCATTTCAAATTCAGACATCATCTGCTTCTTGAACACATTGATTTCTTCTGGATTCCCTCCAGTCACAATCAAATCATCAACATAGACTCCCAAGATCACTGCATTGTCACCAGTACCCCTGGTATACACTGCCTGCTCACTTAAACACCTTCTGAAATTCAGCTTCTTCAAGCTTTTGTCAAGTTTGACATTCCAAGCCCTAGGAGCTTGTTTCAGACCATAAAGTGCTTTGCTCAGTTTGAACACCTCCTGTTCCCTTCCCTTCACCTTATAGCCTTCAGGTTGTGAGACATAGACCTCTTCCTCTAATTCTCCATGCAAGAAAGCAGATTTTACATCTAAGTGATGAATTTTCCAGCCATTGTTTGCTGCATAGGCTAGTAGCACTCTCACTGTATCCAATCTGGCAACAGGTGCAAAAACTTCCTCAAAATCAATGCCAAATTTCTGCACATAGCCCTTAGCAACTAGTCTGGCCTTGTGTTTAACCACTTCACCATCAGAGTTTCTTTTGAGTTTGAAAACCCATTTTAAACCAATAGGTTTCTTACCTACAGGTAACTTAGCCAGTTCCCAGGTCTTGTTCTTCTCTATGGACTCCATCTCCCTGTCCATTGCTTCAACCCACTCCTGATGACAGGCTGCTTCATTATAGTTAGCTGGCTCACCAGTTTCAACTAGTAGTGCTTCCACATCTGAATCCATCAACTCAACCTCAGATGTCTCATCATAGACCTCATTCAGGTTTCTGAATCTCATTGCACCACTCTCATCTGCTGATGTTGGTGTTAGCAATTCATTATCAGTCTGCTCATGTTGAGGTGTTGAGAAACCAGCTTGTGAAGGTTCAGCAATATCTGCCTGCACTTCTGCATCTCCTGACCACTGAAACAGATTTGGTTCATTCAGACCAGCATTTTGTACATTAACTTGTGCTGTCTGTTCCTGCCATCTCTGCTCATCCACAGTTTCCCCTCCACCATAATTTTCTGCTAAAAATCACCATCAACAGTAAACTCAACAGAGCACTCACTGTCTGAATGTTTATCCCAGTCCCACACCAATTTCTCTTCAAACACAGTATCCTGCTAACTACAATTTTGTTAGTGGTAGGATCATACAACCTGTATGCTTTGCTTCCCTCCTCCACTCCAAAATATACCAGCTTCCTACTCCTGTCATCAAGCTTCTTTAAGTGAGGCTTCACTACTTTAGCATATGCAGTGCAGCCAAACACTTTCAAGTGTCCCAGACTTGGTTTTCTACCAGTCCACACCTCATGAGGAGTCTTTTCACCCAAGATTTTTGTTGGCAACCTGTTGAGAAGAAAGACAGAATGTCTCACAGCTTCTGCCCAGTATCTCCCTAGAACTCTCATGCTCTTCAACATGGCTCTAGTCATCTCCATCACTGTCCTATTCCTCCTCTCAACAACTCCATTTTGCTGTGGAGTAAATGGTGCTGTGAAATGCCTCTTGATTCTAGCCTGCTCACACACACCAGCAAACTCACCATTCAAAAACTCCCCTCCTCTATCAGACCTCAGTGTCTTAATCTTACAACCAGATTCATTCTCAACTTGTGCTTTGTACTTGACAAATGCAATAAGGGCCTGATCCTTACTCTTCAGCATGTGCACCTCCATCCATCTAGAGTGATCATCTACCAACAATATGAAATATTTATTTCCTCCAGCTGTCTCTGGTGTAATTGGGCCACAAAGATCAACATGGACCAATTTAAGTTTCTCATCAGCATGCCAATGAGTAGCTCTAGGAAAGGTTGCTCTAGTCTTCTTAGCTGCTAAGCAGTCACTGCACACCTGCTCTGGGTGACTGATGTCAGGGATCCCAGTAGCCATACCTTTCCCCACCAATTGTTTCAGAGACCTAAAATTCACATGACCCAGTCTTCCATGCCAAAGCCAAGCTTGACTATCAATACTAGCCATCAAACACTTTGGAACTGTAATGCTCAACTCAATCTTATACAATCTATTGCCAGCTCTAGGTACTTTCATATTGAGTCTGTCAGAATGTTTATCAACTACTTCAAGCAAATCATCATCAAGTAGAATCCTATGCCCAGACTCTGTCAGTTGACCCAAACTAACAAGGTTACTCCTAAGCTTAGGAATATAATAAACATCTGACAATACCCCATGATCACCTCCTTTTCCTTGGAATACAATTGTACCTCTACCAAAGATATCAACAGTTGAATCATCACTAAAACGAACCTTACCATTGATGGCCAAATTCAGATCTCTGAACTTCTGACGATCACCAGACATATGGTTGCTTGCACCATTGTCTAAGTACCAAACATCACCAGTTGGATCACCTCCATCAGTGAGATGAAGCTCGGGCACAACTTTGGTTTCATTCAGAAACAGCTTCTGAACCTAATGATCTTCAGAGCACTGTAGCTTGTCCGACAACACAGCTTCTGCCAGCAACACTGATGGCTCTCTATCGATCCTTGCACAGTATGCCTCCTCCTTCTTCTCACCGGGGCAACGATTTGCATAGTGCCCAAAGTCATGGCACTTGAAGCATTTGATGTGACTCTTGTCACGCTTCCCCGTGCCCTCCTTGCCGCCGTCAGATCTACCGCCACGGCCGCTTCCCGCGCCGCCATGGCCACGCCCCCGACCTCGGCTGCCTCCATCTCCTCTCTTCCCTTTCCTAGACGAGTCACCACCAGCAGATCTCTGCCTGGCCTCCCACTCAGCCTGGGTGAGCATCACCTGCCCAGTTGGGGTTCTGGCGCCGCCGCCTCTCCGCGCCATGCGCTCCTCGAACGCCTTCAGACGTCCCACAGCCTCATCGAATGCAATGGTCTTCAAGTCATAGAATTGCTCGATTCCTGCCACGACCGTGAGGTAGTGATCGAGCACGATATCGAACAATTTCTTCACCAGCGCCGCATCATCCAAACTCCCCCCAAGCTGTTGTACTTAACTGACAGCGTTGACAGTTTCCCAACAACTTGATCTAGCGGCTCGTCGTCTTTCATCCGGATCATGTCTTGAGAGTTTGCAACCACGCATCCTTGACCCGCTCCGCACCGACAAATCTAGCCTTCAACGAGTCCCACACCCCCTTCCCTGTCTTCTTCTTGGCTACTTGCATCAGGATGTCGTCCGGGATGCACTGAAGGAGATGTGCCTTCACCTTCTTGTTCTTCGCGTCTAGCTTCACCTTCTCCGCCGTAGTTGGCGCCGTAGCTTCCGGATCTGGCTCAACCACCTCCCACTCCTCCCGATCCTCCATGATCGCCTGAACTCGAATGCACCAACTGGTATAATTCGAGCTCGTCAGGGTTGGGTAAACCTAGCGTGCTTCCCCACCGCCTCGCGCCCCATCCCCTCCACTGGCGACGATCAACATGGAACTAATCTGGAGTGTCTCCGCGCGTGATCAAGGCTCTGATACCAGATGTTAGGGTAGAATCTCAATCACACGCTGTATGGTGGCTGGATTAACTCACAAGAACGATGAACACATGATCGCACACATGAACACAGAGAATTGGAATGGTAACTACCCAGCTGACCACCGGGAGACAGTGCCCTTTTTCACTATTGATGGTTCACAATACAATGTGGCTTACCGGCTTACAAAAAGCAAAGCACCACACACCAAACACCTAGCTCTTTATACCAGAGCTTAACTCACACGACTAAGTCAAAGAAAACTGCAAACACATGCGATACATATCACTGAAAACACATTCTTCAGAAACCGCCAGAACGTGGGAGCGGTCACCACGTTGTGCCACCTTCATCGGTTGCCCACCGATTCAAACCTGTTGCTTCCCGCCTCCACTCCTTGCTCCTCTTCTGAATGCGCCTCAATGACTTGTTGCTGTCAGGCTTACACCAACAGTCTTGCCCACCAGCAGGAAAGCGGCGAGGTTGAGCGCGAATGCACAGAGGGAGTTGGTGCCGAAGACGAACACGTCGGGCGGGCGAGGCTCCCCCCGGCGGCGGCGGCGCACAGCCGGAGAAGCTCGATGGTGTACACGGGATGGTGAGGAAGACGAGGCAGCATGGCATGACGTAGTAGAGCGAGGTGATGGGGTTGAGCAACACTCCCTTGGAGGTGAGGAGGATCTAGATGAGCACGAGGCGGGTGGCCTCGGCGGCGACGGCGAGCAGCTGCAGCGCGACGCCAAACACATCGAAGCGGGCCTCGCCGTAGGCGGCTACGGCGACGCCCACGGAGATGGCGAGCATGTTGAGCAGCGTGGCGCGGCGGAAGGCGTCGGTGCGGAGCGCAATGGCGAGGGAGTAGACGGCGATGGGCATCAGTGCCTTGAGCATCTGAATGAAGGAGACAGGGAGGTAGATGTAGGCGGAGTTGGAGAACCAGAGCGACAGCGCATACAGCGCGCCGATCGGGAGCACGGAGGACGCGTAGAGGCGCGGCGTCATGGCCTGTGGAGAGGATGGGACGTTGACGACACGGAGGACGTGGACGAGCAAGAAGGCGAGCGTCGCGCAGAATGCCATGTGGATCATGGTGAGCGAGATCGGGAACGGCCAGTTGTAGAGCTTTGGGTCCAGGATGTACTTGTTGTACACGATCACTGCGAAGCTTAGGCTCATCCAGATCCCCATGTACGCGTACGACAGCAGCATGGACCGTAGCACCGATGGCGGCGGTGGTCGTGGTGGCGTCGGGGTGGGGGACGACGACGGCGACGAGGTGGACGAGGTCACCTCCATGGCAGCGGGACTGGTGTCGTCGCCGGCGCCCATCGCGATGGCTGTGTTGTGTTAGCTAAACTGTTGCATCATTTGGTTAGGATTTTGTTGTTGAGTCATCAAGTTATAGGAGTCTAGTCGAGTTAGCAGATTGGGCGTGGCCAGAGGCGTGCTTGGGCACGACACGATCTGGAGTTCTCGGTTTGGTAGGCGTCACGACGTATGCCGCAGCATGTGGTGCGCGACGCAGTGAAACGGCGTGGCACATGGTGTGCGGCATGGCGCGGGGATATGTGGAGACGTGTTCTGTGATCCCATCTATCATTATAAATAAGAAACAATAGAGGCCGGGAAAACCGCGATGTTTGGCGGCGCATTATTCTCTCATGATCTTGTTCCATCTGTTACTCTGTAGCCGCGATCACCACGCCGGTGGCGCGTCGCCGTCGAGGCCTGAGGTCGAGGACCCAGGGCAACGCCTGGTTTCAACAAGTGGCATCAGAGCCGTTGGTTGTCGAAAGAGGAGGCGTGTGGTGGCGGTGAGCTGAAGGTTTCGCCGAAACATTGAAGAAAGGAGAGCGCGAACTCAAGCATCGTCGAGATGGGTTCAGGCACCTCGGGTGAAAAAGAATCCATGGACCGGGCCTTCAATCAAGCCACGGGGAATTTGGTATGGCCGTTGCTGACTCGTACGAATTATCAAGAGTGGTCGTCTCACATCCAGTGCAATCTAGAAGGGTTGTTTCTTTGGGATGCCATTGATGAAGCCGATTCTGCAAAGGTGGAGAGACGTCGAGATCGCTTGGCACTCGGTGCCCTGCTTCGCGGCGTGCCACAAGAGATGCACTCCATGCTCCTAAATAAGAAAACGGTGAAGGAGGCATGGGAGGCAATCAAGATCATGCGTCTTGGAGCAGATCGTGTTAAGGAGGTCAACGCCCAAAAGCTTCTGGCTGAGTTCGAATCCATCGCATTCAAGCCGGGTGAGGCCATTGATGATTTTGCGATTCGCATCACAAAGCTCGTCACGGATCTGCGAGGGCTAGGGGAGGAGAGCATCACCGATGAACGTGTGGTGAAGAAATTCCTTCGTGTGGTGCCGTCTAGGTACAGTCAAGTCGTGGTGGCGATTGAGATGTCAAAGATCTAAAGAAACTATCGATCGAGGAGCTTGTGGGTCATCTTCGGGCAGCAGAAGAGAGGTTTGAGCCCTCGGTGGAGCAGGTGATAGAGAAGACTGGCAAACTTCTCCTAACAGAAGAGGAGTGGGCAGCCAGGAATAAACAACGTTCGTCGGACTCGACCTCGTCTTCTGGAGGCAAAGGCGGCGGGCAGTATGTGAAGAAAGAGCGATCCGGATCCGGGGCACACAGCGGCGGCGATGCGTGTGACTCCGGTGGGAAGCAGCTCACGTCGATGGGAACCCCACGGCGGAAAGGTAGATGTCACAAGTGCAAAATCTATGGGCACTTTGCAAAAGAGTGCAAAACGAAGGCAAAAGAAGAACGACAAGAGGCTGCTCATCATGCCAATGTTGAGGCAGAACCAGCTCTGATGGTGGCGCACGTTTGCAACATCAAGAGGCTGAGCACGCCGGTGACGCAGCATGTGTTCCTAAATCAGGAACGCGTATTCTTGGCGGAATACCACGAAGGAGCGTGGGTACTAGACACAGGCGCCACGAACCATATGACGGGGCGCCGAGAAGCCATGGCGACTCTGGACGAGACGGTCCGGGGCGCAGTGAAGTTCGGTGATGGGTCGACAGTGGAGATTCACGGGATCGGCGCCGTAACGATCGCCGGAAAGAACAACGACCACCGAGTTCTCACAGAGGTATACTTTATTCCATCTCTTAAGTGCAATATTGTTAGCCTTGGTCAGCTCGAAGAAGGGGGATGCCGGGTTGAAATTGATCACGGTATTCTGGAAGTGTTTGAGCGGCAGCAGGGTGGACAGAAAAAGCGTGGAGTGTTAATTAGGGCGGAGAGGAAAAATCGCTTGTATATTATGAAAGTGAATCTTACTTCGCCTGTATGTCTACTAAGCAAGATGGATGAAGTGGCTTGGCTATGGCACGCACGGTATGTGCATCTCAACTTCAGATCACTTCGTGATCTCGGTGTGAGAGAGATGGTGGAGGGAATCCCAACAATCAGTCGAGTTGAACAAGTTTGCGATGGTTGTGCACTTGGGAAGCAGCATCGCACTCCTTTCCCTCAAGTTTTGGCGTACCGTGCTAGTGGAGGCCTTGATCTGGTTCATGGTGATCTATGTGGACCGATCACACCACCTACACCAGGTGGGAAATTGTATTTTCTGTTGATCGTGGATGATCACAGCCGCTACATGTGGCTGGAATTGTTGGCAACCAAGGATGAAGCGCTGAGCAGTTTCAAGAAAATAAAAGTGGGAGCTGAAGTTGAATCAGGCCATCGTCTGAAGGCGTTCAGAACTGACCGGGGTGGTGAGTTTAATTCCGGTATGTTTGTTGCTTACTGCAATGAACAAGGGATCAAGCGGAATACCACGACGCCATACTCTCCCCAGTAGAATGGAGTGGTGGAACGACGCAATCAAACTGTCGTGGAGATGGCTCGATGTCTGTTAAAGAGTATGAGTGTGCCGGGAAAATTCTGGGGAGAAGCAGTAAAAGCAGCTGTCTACTTGTTGAATCGGTCGCCAACAAAGAGTTTAAATGGCAGGACTCCGTTTGAGGCTTGGTTCGGGAGAAAACCGAGTGTGCGGCACCTCCGTACGTTTGGCTGTACAGCGTTTGCAAAGCGTACAGGGCCGAGTGTAAACAAACTGGCAGATAGATCGATACCGGGGGTGTTCCTTGGTTATGAATCGGGGACCAAAGGCTATAGAGTGTATGATCCAGTCAACAAGAAGTTGATAGTGACTAGGGACGTGCTTTTTGATGAAAAAAGAAGATGGAATTGGGAGGAGAAAGCAGCAGGCCAGAGCGAATTGGCACCACAATTCTCAGTCGTGTATGCAGATGAAGTGCTGGATGGCATTGTTCACGGTCCGGCAATAGAGCCGACACAGCTCGCTGATCAGGATCTCGATGCGGGAGTGCCGTCTTCACCTGCTGCAGCAATTCCATCAGAGAGGGGTGCTCCAGGTACGCCACCTCACACGCCAACCATGTCAATTGTGGGATCAACACTGCAGTCAGCACCGCAGATACAATGGGCGACACCACCGACAGGAGCTTCGGTTGATTCAGAAGGCATTCCAATGAGGTACAGAATGATACCCGATTTGCTTGATTCCACTGATGAAGTTCCGGGTTTTGAGTACAGTGGTTTGTGTTTGGTCGCCTCTGAGGAACCAGCTACAGTTGGTCCCATCTATCATTATAAATAAGAAACAATAGAGGCCGGAAAAACCGCGATGTTTGGCGGCGCATTATTCTCTCACGATCTTGTTCCATCTGTTACTCTGTCGCCGCGATCACCACGCCGGTGGCGCGTCGCCGTCGAGGCCTGAGCTCGAGGACCCAGGGCAACGCCTGGTTTCAACATGTTGGTGGCCTGTTGTGTTCGAAAATGTTGG